CTGAGCCTGCATTCTTGAGTGCATTAAGCACGATTGTAGATCCATCGATCACGTAGTCGACGGTGGAAGGCTTTCCGATATCAAGTGGCGTCCAGGCGCCGGCGGTGTGCTTGTTACCATTCGGGTTGTTCGACGAGCCCATCGAGGGGGAGAATTGAAAGGAAGAAACGGACGCGAAAACTAAGATCTTATAGAGAAATCGCGTCTAGTAGGTACAATGGCTTCTTTGTGCACTGTGAAGCGATGCCTTCGGAACGCAGATGGTGGGTGCTGTAGAACCGCGATGCAGTGCAGGTGTGCTATTTGGTTCAAATCTGGAGTCACGCGCGAAGTGACGTCCATAAAAGGAAGCACGGAATCAGAATGAAGTTTCCTCCCTTGCACCGCCCTAGACGTCGGACGGGCCCCCTGCACTGCAGCAATCCTGCCTCGCGTAGGCGGTGAGTAAATAAATTACAAGTACAGTATGCGATATTCCTAATAAAACCATACACACAGAAGTAATAGTCTTTTGAAATTCATGCCCCTCGACATCGTCCTGTGCTCACAGCCCACCAGCAGAACTCGTGCTGAGATGAACGTCCACCTCAGGTACAGTCGATCTCGCGCTGATTTTTCTCTGATTTATAAGTAAGTTATTTGTTGAGGTCCGAAGGGGAAACGACTCACTCTTACGGACGGCGGGGGGAGGTCACCAACGTTGAAGGAATCTTCAATCCTCACGTCCGTGTTAGGCCCAATTCTCGACAAGAGGTGAGGGATAACCTCCAACGGCGACTGGATTGTAGGCGTTGGTGTCAAAGGCGAGATGAATCCGGGATAGCCATGGCTTACGGGCGATGTAGTCTGTGGACTCACCGGCATATGCCCACTATCCCATCGCTCATGTATCTGAGACTGATTCGTCTGTGAGTAGGAGGGTGATGGAACCTCGAAACTGCCCTGGCATGTCGCCCTGAATGCTGGAGCTGTCTTCATACAGCGCTTGTCGCGGGTGTGTCCAGCTGAATTGCAAGAGTAACGGAATCGAAGAATTAAATGCGGGGAGTGGGCATTGAGATGATGGTACGTGGCAACTCTATTTTGTCGTCTCTATCTGCTAACATCATTCCTGACGGATATAATCCGTCATTTCCCCCCTCCAGACCCTGGCTTTCACACCACGACTAATCGATGCCACCTGACACTTCTGCCCCTAGCGTCACTCCTCTCTCCATGCATCCCGCCTTCATCCTTCCTGCCGATGACCCCTGTCATCTTTATCTTACCATCGCCGCTATACCGAGTTTTCCACCGACAACTATAGCCACGGACGTCTCCCGTGAACGGATAGTGAGCCTCTTTATCAGCTTAGCTGCGCGGTGCACCCTTTTCACGTAGGAATTGCCGTTCGTATCTGTAGTTGTTGGTGGGAGGGTGTGATGCGATTGATTTGCAAGGCAAACCACTCTTCCACTCTGTCTTGTTCTCTTTATTCCGATTTCCCCTTTGTGGCCCGTCAGCTTCTTTCCTCGAGTTTCGGCTGACTGGAACCTTTCCAATGTTTCTTGTGCGCCTTGCTCCCGTCTGAACGTCCTCGGATGTTCATAAAGCAACGAAACCGATGGCGAGTCCTATGTACGACTTCGTACCATCTCCTGTGCCTTGAATGCCCTGTGGATTGGCCAGCTAGGCAACACTTCTCATAGGAGAATCAGTTTCCTTCGACTCTGAAAGAAGGGCCCCAGATACCATCGAAGCGCCTGCGCAGGTCCTCTCCTGGTGTAGTCATACGCCGCCCCGAGTGCATATATGCGCCTCGTTTGTGAGACGGAGCGCACCTCGCCTTTTCTTCGGCCCTTGGAGGGCGATTCGGGCGATCGAGGCTCTCCTTTTGTTCTTTACTGGCTCTTACCGGCGCGAGGCCTGTACGGCGTGCTCACAGTTAGAGCACGGGCAGCACTAAATGGCGATTATACGAGCGCATATATGCACCGCTTCAGTGCCGTTTCCGACCTCACGCTCCGCACGAGCCTCTACTCCCAATCCTCGCACATCTAGACTACATTTCGTCTGCAGGACACGCCGGTCGTATCACGATCGGGCGCTGTGCCTAAGCTATCGTCCCTCGACCTCCTGTTCTCCTTTCTTTCCCTCTCGCTGTGACCTACTTTCACAACTACCGTCCACGTCCGCGCCCTTTGGCTGCGTTTCTCGTTATCGTCCGTTTAGAGTCAACTAAAGCTCAACTAACGCCCCAAACGAGTAGCCGTAAGCCCCTAAACGACGCGGACGTCCAGTGCCACTGTGAGGAAGATGGGCTCATGTTCGCCTCTCCACACCCCACTACACGGCCCCGCCCAAAACTCTCTTCCTGCCTCTGGTTCAAGTTCTACTACCAAACCTCATTACATCTGTGCGAGCGCGATCGACTCACCTCATCATTCGCCCATTGCGTTCCCCAGAGCGTAGCCTCCTTGTACACGTCCACATCCTCAAGCGGCATCTCTCGTTCCGATGCGTCTGCGAACCGTTATTTCGTCGACGCTACGAACGAGTACATGGAATCCTGCCTCCGAGGGCGTGGATGTCATGTTCAGGGCATCTGTGTCTTTCGTGTCCGATGTCCATTCATCCCGTATCATTGGAACCTGGTGCGGATGCCGCCTCTTAATTCGTCTCATTCACCATTTTTGTTGAACAGAAGATCGGGTGATCGAACCTCGGACCTTTCTCACCATCTGATTTTCGGACATCTTATGTGTTTTGCAGCAAATGCATACGTGCGGTAGCGACCAGTTTTCAGGCCTGGTCAGCACCTCCCATTTCAGCCGCGCTCAGGAAAATTTAGATGGCTAATATGTGTTCGTACGATGGCGACAATGGCACAGAGCCTTTGCGTTCATTTGAAAGTCTCCCGTCAAGATCTCTTTCTTTCCTTCCCTCCTTCGTGTCTCGTCTTCTAGACCTTCACCATACCTATCCACGTCCGCGTCCTGGAGATGCATTCCTCGTTGCAACGAGTTATCGAGCATGTATTGCTCGATTATCTCTCGAAACGAGTCTCGAACGCTTTGCTGACCTGAGGGAACGGACGTCCGATTGGCGCATTTTGTGCTTTGGTAGGAGATACGCTGATCTACGAGTATGTGAGTTCCCGAGCATGATACACTTCTGGACTGCGTTCTAAACTTCCTGTCTAACCATTGACTTCGACACGAGCTCCCCTGCTTTATGTTCCCATATACCATCCTAATCTCCCTCTCTTATTTCTCCAGTCTCGCACCAGTCGTTCGGCGAAATGGGATTGAGCTCAGAAGGTGTTTCCCATCCTTCGTTTCTCCACCGCGGTTAAGGGGCGGCACCACCGGCCCGATCACTTAGGAGTTCGTTTTGACGGCCAACAAGATCTGATCACCCAGTCGACCCCATCCATCTTCTCTGACGACAGCGCTTGCGACGAAAGCAGCAAAACCGGTTAGACGGACAAGGTGGAAGCGAAGGTTAGCCGTCTGCGCTCCTCGAGTCGTCGACCACAACGCGCTGATCTTCTCCCTAGTGAACGAACGTGGGCTTTTTCTCTGTGAAACCGCACCGCAATGCGGAGGGGATGCGATACCGGAGATGGATGGTTGAGAAGTACCGGTCTTCGAATGCGCTGGCGAAGACGGGGGACGAGTGCCGCAGGACGGAGGGCAGAGGGCGAACGTAGGTTATCTTGCACTTGAACGAGTGCGATGAAGGCTTAAAGTTGTCCATAGCACTCGAATAACACATATCCACGTTAAAAGAGTCAGCAACGGCGCCCACGTAGATCAAGATGAACGCGGACCACAGCAAGAACGCGGCGAACCTCGAGATCCACCCCTTATTCACCAGCGCAAACCGGCCCATCTATGGTCTCCAACGAAGTTTTCGAGACGCAAGGAAAGTTGAAGTTGCTCGGAGTCTAGACGAGGGGGCGACGAAGGAGTCCTGCAGGATGAGCGAAATGTGAGTAAGTGCACTCTCGGACATCGATAATGGCGACCTAGCAATGTTCTCCGCAGCGCGAGAAGACATATTCTGCCACGAGCACATGTTCTTGGACGACAACGGCGGCTGAAGGATGGGGTTTGGAAGGTGCGGGTTTGGGAATGGATAATGCCAGGAGCTATGGGCGGCGTTCGCGGAAAAAAATGGTGGTCGTAAGTTGACGTCCACAATCTCGAGAATGAAAGTGAGCTTCCTAGGCTTTCTCGCAGCGCTCTCTTCCCAATCCACCGGCAGCCTCTCCTCCCGTCTCATCCTCGTGAACCATCTGTGGCCCACCCGCCGTCGTCATCGCTGTTGCAGGGTCGTCCTCGGAGAGAGCACGCCGTGTTGTTCCCCCTCACGGATCGGATGCAGAGATGGCAGGGGTTTTTTTGTAGCAGAGGCAAGTACAAGCCTACGTCGCAAATAACGTTGCTCAGTCTCTCTTCGTCGCAGGGGGTCTACCACGACGGAGTCGAACACGATTTTGAGGCCGGATTGGACATATGGATTCGTTGATATCAAGGTACTTAAGTCAGGATGTACACACTCGAGAATGAATAATTGCTTACTTTTCGTAGCTGTTCTGCTCTTCCTCAACCCGCAACGCTACCGAGACCCTCTCCTACGTGTGGCAGAAGCGGCATTATCCCCCTACGAGGAGCTCAGGACCAAACCACCCCTCTCTGCGCTCGTCGACGACGACGTCGGCAGCCGGCGTTATATGAGCTGGTAGGTTGAGGTCATCACTACCGAGTACAACGGATTTACCCTCTCCTAGCTGGAAAACAACTTCATTTGCCGTGATTTGCGTCTACGGAGGGCAGTGGAGTCGGCGCACAGCTCGTCGAGTAAGTCCCAATCCACGCCGCGAACATATGGGTAGTGCACTGACCAGTTTTCGTAGACACAACTAGGGATGAACGCGACTAGCACTCGCGAAGTTACTAATTCAACGGCTTGGTGTCCTTCCACATCCTCAAACCCTTTCTCCGCCCACTCCTATATGTTCCTCTCTACCGACATATGAACCTTCTCCGTCTCTTTGAACCCCTACTTATGGGCCGCGCCTCGTCTCTACCTTCGGCGACAGACAACCGTCTATCATGCCTACCCCTCCGTACCGGGCATGTGAAATGACGATAAGGTGAGATCGCGATCTCTCGTAGTCATCGTCATCACCATCCTTTTAGAGCCTTTCGTCACTATCGGCGTCTGAAGGATCTTCAATCCGACATCATATTTATGGCGTCTTCATAGAGCTCCGGGCTGTTCAGTTTCCGCGTCAGAGCTCTCTACTCTTGGACATCATTATGCGAGATGGCTATGGCGTCCTGTAGCTTAAATTTTGCACCCACAAGCAAATGCTTAGTATCTACTTGTATTTCCTGGCATCATGTCATCGCACCCTCATTCCGCACGGCACCTCGAGGAACCCGCTGTTGTGAGCGAGAATGCCGCCGAACTCGAGCCTGGGCGACAGTAAGTAGAAATCGCGTCGTCTCGTCTCTGAGAGAACGCTCGCGGAAGTTCCCATTGTTTAGAAATCCCTCTAATTCATGCCATGAATGAGCTTGAACATGGATCAAAGGAAAAATGGGCCGAGGGAAGACGATCAAAGAAAAGATTGGCTCTATGAACGCAAATGAGACCTCACGAAGAAGGGAAACGACCGGACGGCGACTCGTGTTATGAGATAGAGTGCCCATCATCGATTGATAGGTTTCTCAAATAATCCAGGTGGCAAAGTAATTCACATTCTAGTCGTCGCGCGAGGGGCAATACGCCAAGGAACCAGAAGGACCGAACGTCCACGCCGGGACGAAATGAACAGAACTCGGTTTGACCGTCAATCGAGGCGAAGGCATCAAAAGCGCGTCAGAACGAGATATGCATCTCAACGACGCGGACGTGGGCGATGGAGGCCAAGGCGGTTAAGGTGAGTAACAGGGAAAGAAATACGGATAGGAGATGATTTGAGAAACGAAAGTGGTGCACAGATGGAGAAGATGGGTGAAACGAGCACTATGGAGAATGGGATCTTCCCGCGAGCTGTTTGAACAGAAAAATTCGAGCAGGATTTAGAGAAACACCATTTCCGTCGCACGTGCTTCCGTCGAAGAATCCGACGACTAACACCAGCCCAAACATTCATCTGCACCAACGCCACGATCGCCACAACACCGGGAGGGATATCCACACTGTGGATCCACGGTACATCCACGCCCTACCTGAGGGCCGCGAAATAACTCGTTATGATTCCCACTTCAAGCACATGGTTCGAGCGGGCGTCATGACGAGAGATATTGTCCGAGGACGTGGATGATTGTGGAGAGGACAGGCGAGAGGGGGGGACAGGAAGGAGGGAGGGAGAATGAGAGACCAACCACGGTGCCCTATATGCGAGATAGAGTGAATACGGTGGTGAGAAGGCGCATATATACACCTGTGCGAGAGGAAAAATGTGTAAGTACAGCCGGAGCTACGGGTCTTTCGATCACAAAACGTAAGCACGAGTGCTGAAAACACGGAATACAGTCGCAAGCTGTGAGACAGAGAAAAAGGTGCGTGTGGAAGAAAGGCTCGACGACGAACCGTGCAGCGGTCGGCAGCAACCAGAGAAAATGCACGAAGCACTTGAGTAGGCGCATATATGCACCCTTAAGGTGCTGAAATTGAGGAAACGAGCGTTATCGCGCCGTGAAATGGAAGAGGAGTGAAACGAGGAGGTATGGCACTAACCTGGACTAGGGTAGACCGCTCAGCCGTGGGCAGTGTCATCAGTTCCAGCCCTCAAGAAGGAACTCGAGCGCTGAATATCCGATTATTCGACGAGAATCCTCGAAAAGTGGTGGTGGGTTCTGTTGTGCGATGCGATCGCGATCGCGGAATGTCCTGAAGGCTGACGGTTGACAGGAGGAAACTGGTGAGAACGAGGACATATGAAAGTTAGAATGTAACCTCGAGGACGGAGAGAGCACGTAGAAGGTACTAACTCGCGAGGCGAGCGCGCCCTTTTGTGCGCGATATTGGTATTGGCCTACAGAGACATTCAGCATTCGAGGCTCATCAAGCGATGACTTACCAGCATTATAGTTGGCCCCTGAGGATGTCTACCGAGTGAGGGGCGTCTGAGCCAGTATTTCCTATGTACAGGATATAGAGGTGAGCCCGTCGAGGGTGGGTGCACTAGGCGAGGTGGGCGGAAGAGAGGAAGGAACGCGTCGGGCATGGCTGACGCGTTGGACGACAGGTGGCGTGAGAAAGGATCGATAAGATAAGATGGGCAACGCGAGCGCCTTTTTCACTCCTTTTCTCTTAGCGCCCAGGAGCGCCGAACATCAACGCCCTTCGAGAACGTTCCGGTCAGAGAAGATTTGTTATTATATAAACACCGCCTCTGTTGCAGCTTCTTCGGACACCCTCTTTCCATGATGCTATCCTCTCTCGCTCGACAAGATGAGTGGTGGAGATGCCATACGATTGTGCTCGAATGCGTGGCAGCCCATCTTCCCATGCTGCCCCCTCTGCCTTCTCTCGTCCATAGTTCACCTGAACACCTCTCACCACCCACGTCCATGCGCTCAGGAGTCTCTTCACCGCGGAATGTTGTCACCGTCGTTCGATACAACGATCTGAGAAGAATCCCGCTGTCTTCATCCTTTTCTGCAGTAGGTGGACGTGGAAATGGAAATTATATTTGCGCTTGGAAGCTCTGGCAGGCGACAGCACGAGGTTTAACCCGGCCCGGACGTTCCGCGCTAAGCATACCCTTTGCCCAGATGTTTTCGCTCGTCTCCTCTCCCACCATCGCGTCCATTCATGTTTCGCCATACTCGTCTCATCCCACGCGCGACGTCTGTAATTACGTGCTCCTCCAAACATCCACCAGCTCCGTCGGCGCCAACGCGCGCCTCCCCCAACTTCGCTCCCTGCACCGTAATCCCAATAGCTTCACTATGCCCACCACCAACCTGCTGCGTCCGCGCCAACGTCCACGTCAATGTTCAGCTCCCCTCTGCTTCACCGTTGGACGAGACATCCCCTCTCGTGCCGTACGTGGTCAGGGGATTGCACTGTTGCATAATCGACATGGACGTTTGGCGCGCACTGGGGTCTTGGTTTGCTGTGCCTCATCTCTGCTCTGCGAAGGATCTGATCCCTCATGTTTAAACTCACGGTGGATCTGCTGGCTCAGCCGTGCTCAGCCTCAGTTTCTCCATTTCTCAGACATCGATTCCGCTAACATCATTCTGCGCGTAGAAGGGAGGATGGAGCAGAGAGCGTTACGCCCTTAGACTGGCTTGAAGGACTTGTGGTGGTGGTGGTGGTGGTGGTGGTGCGTCTGCAATCTCTTCTCTCCTCCGCCACGATCTCCGACCCATCGCAGACGCTGGCTCAGACGGCCTCAATTGTATAGATCAAATTTCTTCCCCTCAATCTCGTCATGCCCGCTTCCATTCATTTCGTCACACTCCCTCCTGTACTGACCGCGTACATGGGTCCAGGACCCCATCCCTCGTGTTCGTTGTGGATCTACTGGCCCAGCCCAGTCTCGCCGTTTCTTCGACGTGGAGTTAACGTTAACCTACGTCGTTGCGAAGGTAGAAGAAAGGATGAAAAGAGAGGAAACCTTCCGGGTTTGACCAACTTGGCGACGGTACGTGCGCTATCTCTTCATTATTCCTTCACGATCTCCCAACCCCTCGTTTGTCATACACCTGCCTTTCGTGTGGGGCCGTGGGCGGGATAGGCCGCATCCTTCGTGCGTGTTTTTTCTCTCTCTCGTCACGTTTACTCCTTTCCGCGTCCTTCGCCTCGAGCAAACTTTCCCCGTCGTTCTTTACCATCGGGAACTCGAGACCCGCATCTCGTGTTGTCACCATCTGTCTGGCCTCTTCTATTCGCCTCTATCCCTCATTTCACACCCAACGCCGACCGTCTGAATCTACGCCTCATCCGCATCGGGAGAACGTCTCCATCAGTTCTTAAACGCCATTTGCCTTTGCGACGTGGCGGATTGGGCGTCGAGGAGCTGTTCATTGCTGGTGATTTCAATCGGTGCGGATGTTGATATCGATGACGTTTCCCTCCTGATGCCCTCGCGGCGTATCTGTATTCTCGAACCCCACTTCGACGGTTCCGAGTGCGCGGTCCCTTCTAGATTTATTATACCCCAAATTCGACCATGTCTGTTCGTCCGACTTCGGATTGGACCGCTCAGATCTCTGGAGCAGGGATGACGCGGAAGGCATTCTGTATGGCTCAAATCTGCGTTCATCGTCTGATTCGCGGCCGATCAGTCTGTATGTGCAATGTTAGCATGGTCTTCCTCTGCCCTGGATTCCAGTGGGTCTTCCTTTCGCGCTTCGAGCCGTACGTGGGGTCCACGTCCGATGGCATCCGTCTTTGGTCTTTTCATCCCCGCATCCCACCTTTATATTATACCGCTTTCGGTGCCCACGGACATTCCACCCCGCTCTGGAGCCGCTACAAATACACGAATACCCTATCCCGATTCAAGAGTTTGGATGCAGGACGGGTATTTTGTAGTTGGTGTCGACAATAGTGGGGTGGGACCCTTGTTCGCTCACGACTGATTCGGTAACACTCACTCTGGTGCACCTTCTGACTGGATGGAATGTGTGCATTGTCGGTCGGGGTGTTGGGCAGATATTTTGTCTGGTACGGAGCTAATCGCTCCATGGCTGAAGATTTCTGGGACGGCCACTCACTCTGAACCGCCGTCAGTGGCTCAAACCGCTATTTCTCGTATTCGTCCTATCTATTCCGTCGACGCCTTTCCGTTGCGGATAGGCCACCAGCTTCCCATATCCCACGTTGAAGGAACGACTCAGCCTATTTTGTATGTGCATCTGCGGCCTTGTCCTGATTGTGATACGACTCAAACTACTGGCGCCTGCAAAATAGAGCGAGGACGATGTTTTTCCATTCAGATTCGGCGTTCCCGAGTTCGAGGCACTTCCATGGTGGCCTTCGACAGTTCGTATTCCACTCTTTCCTGTGCTATCCTGGCGCCGTAAGGGCTTCGGGGCATATTCGACCAACGCTCTCAAAGAAATGATATTGTGCCCTCTTCCACTTCCTCTACCTCAATATCTACACTTGCACTGTCGCTTTCAGGTAAACTTTAGGTTACTGTGCTCGCGGAAATTTAGCCTATCTTATTTTCTTACAGCTAGAATAAATTTGACACAAATTCATGTATACTCGCGCGTTCCACCGACCCGCAGGTTGTGCCTGACCGGTCGGAGTTTCAAATTTCAACATGTCGACGTCATGTCACCTCGTCTCTTCTCTCTCTCTTTTCTTCTCCCCTTCACAAGCCGTCCTAGCCACCATCTCTCGTTTACACCCCTTGATCTGGCATATAACTCGGCCTTCTCGACATCAGCGTCACCACTTCTCCTAATGGCTACTCACATCTTGCGAATCGAAGACTGCGATGACTGATTTTGAAGGCGGATCGTATTGACAAGGTGAATCGGTAGGTAAGTATGCTGCGTCTTCTGGTTGAAGTGGATTCACTCAAAGTCCTTCCAACCTACACAAGCTGGCATCTTATCTCATAGAGCGGGCCCGATAACACTAGACCCTTTGTGGTCGTCCAGCGTCATGCGATCGCCAACTGACATCTACGCTATCTACTCAGGGAGGGCGATTACGATGAACGACGTGAAATAGAGCTGGGCAGATGACGTGAAAGTGCAGGTCCGTCGTCCGCGTTCTTCAGTTATCGAGCGCGGTGCACTGTCCTTCTTCCCAGTGAAGGAAGTTGGCAATTCCTTTGGAAATCGCGAAGTCGGACGGAGAAGAAGCATCAGGGCTGGACGGCTGGGAGCCACCTTCGTTCAATCGAGTGAGTGGGTATGGTGGGATATGGGCTCATGCTGCAGGACACGAAGCTGCGGTGATAGTACGTCTTATCATCCTTGAGCTTGAACGGGTATACCAAACACTCAGCACTGTTCATAGAACTCAAACGGCATCTGTTAAGATCTGAGGAATCAGCAGCGGCGCACACGTCGAGCCAGTCGAGCTCGTACCATACGCGAAATCATTGGCTTGTCTTAAGCTCCGCCTGCCGTTCGCCAACGAAAGTCGGTCTTTATGCGACCTCCAACAAAGCCCGCAACACGCGACGAGAGTCGAGGCTGGGTCCTAGGGCAATGAGGGTGCGACTGCGCAAGTGGCGTTGAGACAATCCAGCGAGATTGGGGGATTGTGTGTGAGTACCCTCTTGAAGATCGGCGACGATGACTTACTGGTATTAACATCAGCAGGAGAACAGGTCTAGTGAAGAGAAAACCGGCGCCAAACAGACGAATCTCGCACCAAGATCACGTACCGCTATCACCGAACGGACGCCGAGCACTCAGTTCTGCCCATCAAACGCGCTATTCATCGAGGACGGCGTTTAGAAGGTTTGGAGGTTAAGAATGGATACGAGAAGGCTCTTTTCTGCCCTCGAGGAGAGGGACTGCGGCTGTAAGTCGGCGCTCTGGGTCGATACGGATGTACTCAGCGTCTTTCCAGCGCATACAAAATGGCGTTTTCCCTGGTAGAACACCGGCGACAACTGCTGCTCCCTCTACCCCCGCTACACGACGGCCAACCGATCTGAAAACGATATCTAAGTACACCATCAGGCCCTTTAGGGACGGCGATTATAATAAATGTCACGAAATTGAGCTAAATAGATGAGGTGGAAGCGCAGGTAAGTCATCTCTACATTGTTCTTATCAAACACGTCGAACTCACCTTCTTCCTCGCCATCGAACGCGTACAGCTCCCTTGGAAAACACGAATTAGGGCGGAAGAGGAGAATTATTGAGGCTGGACGGCTGAGAAGCGTCTATCTTCGAGAGACCGGGTGAGGGCGGAGGGCTATGGACTCGTGCTGCAGGACACGAAGCGCGTTGTTATCGTACGTCTTATCTCTCCTGAGCGGGTAGGCGGAATACTTACCATTGTTCGTAGAACTCAAACGGCGTCCCTCAAGATCGGAAGAGCCAGCACCAGTGCCCACATCGAACAAGTCGAGCACGTACTCCATATGAACATATTGGCTTTTCTTGGGCTTCTCCTGGCGTCCGTCAACGAAAATCGTCCCGCGTACGACCTCCAACGATGCTTAGAACGCGCGAAGAAAGTTGAGACTTGGTTCTGGGTTGAGATGAAGGGTCAGCGGCGCGATTGGCCACGAGGGAGGGCCGTGAGATGGGTGGATCGTGCGTGAATGCCCTCTTAAGCATTGACGATGATGACTTACCAGTGTTCTCAGCAAATGGAGAGAACAGCTGCTGAAGCAACAGATCGGCCTGAAGATCACGTTACGCCACTACTAAACGGACTGCGAGTGCTCAGCTTTGGGCATCGAACACGCACAGTCTTCAACGACAATGCAGATTGTGGCCAACCTTTAGAAGATTTCGAGGTAAGGAATGGATATGAGAAGGTTCTTGTCGGCGTTCGAGGGGGAGATACAACGACTGTAAGTCGAAATACGAAGTGTAAACATTGACGAAGAACTTTCTATAGCTTTCCCCTTAGCATCAGCGCTTCCCTCGAGCGCTCACATCTTTGTTAGTATGCTCGCGCCTTTCCTATTGTGCTTATTTCACCCCACCACCTCCCCGTCTCTGCGTACACTTCCCTCTTTTCCGTCGTCCCCATTTTGCTTCCCACTCACCGTCCGCGTTGATATCCTCAGGAACATTGCTCTTTCTTTCTTGTAAAATTTCTCCTTTGCTGCGCTGCCTAGCTACCTTTCCTTGGGCATCCGCATGACCCATCCGCCAGCGGGAGGCCTAACATATAGTAGTCATCCGTCGGCGTCTATCGCCTTCGAGTGTGAACGGCCCTCGAATACTTCATCGCCCCATTCTCCCCAGGAGAATCCCAATTCTCGACCATTTCCTTCATTGGGCAGGTTCTTCGTGCTCCTGCCCGTCTCATATATCCCCATGCCCTTTCATCGGGTCCATCGCACCTCTGCCGATGGGCGACAGAGGCGATAGTTGGATCGCCCCCCCCCACCTCCCAATAGCACTAGCTACAGTTAACGCACAGCCCCATCCACGCAATTCAGTCATGTATGACACTTCCCTATCAGTGTATGTGTGCTTTTTAGCACAGGATATTCTACGGGGTAGTTGACATTGTTGGATGAAGTTTGCGCGGGTGGCTATTTATGCATACGACTGGCAAAGCGAGGATCGACAGGGTGTTCCGGCACACGAATACTATTAAATTTACCTACCTCGTCACACGACGCCGAAGGATATGAGTGTGTTCTCCATGTTCCGGGCGAGCACTACTTACAACATGCCCCAGTCGCACTCTCAATGTCGAGAGGTAGAAGAGAGGCTGTTGGCCGTCTGCATATTTGCGCCCGTTGATTCGAGTTTTCTCGTTCGCCAGTTGCTGTGCTTACATCGTTCTGCGAATAGAAGAAAGGGTAAAGGAGAAGGGAACTTCCCTGTTTCGAAGGGCTTGGAATCGGTGCGCCTGCTATCTCTTCACTCATCCCTCACAGTCTCTGACCTTTCTTTCTTCTGGCAGGTGCCTTTCGTGCGGGACGGGACATCCACCGGATAATCATCCTTCGTGTGCGTCTCTTCCCTCTTGTTACTTTTTTCTTTCTCTGGCCATTCCATATCCTTCGTCTCAAGCAGACTTTCCCCTCGTGCTGTACTCTTTTGACTGCCTATACACTGTTAGGAACTCGAGACGGACACCTCGTCTACCGCGCCGTACGACGGCCAACCGATTCGAACACGACATCTACGCCATCTACTCTCCCAGCATATGAGAAACATTGGTTCGATGATGATTCTAAAGGTTTCCTCAAAGTCTTTGCTGCATGGCTAACGTCCCGTCTATGGGACCGTGGCATCCTTCATCGTGATATCTCGGCCAATAACATCTTACTTGGTAATTTCGATGCCCAAGTAGGGTATCGAGGACGGCTATCTGCCTGGAACCCGAGCAGCCTCTCCTTGGGAAAGCGCCAGTGGTAAGAATTTTATTTTCTATGTCGTTGTTCCATTCTTAAATCACTCCCATATTCCAGGGCACTGTCCCGTTCACGTCGACCAAAATATTGACGCTGGCCCTGATGAATGCCGGGCTTCTACCGTCGTCGCGAAGCCAGGGTGATTTCCACACCCACTTAGATGACCTCTGGTCGTTCTTTTACGTTCTCTGCTGGTGCTACTTTGCCGACGAAGGTGGTCTAAAAGCACACCGTCGACTGCTAAGCGAGTCGCCTCGGAAGTCTGGAGACTGCTGAACTGAAGGCGGGATAGAGAGAGGGAGAGCGAGCTGGGTGGTTATGGGCTAGTCGATGATGTGCCTCCAATTGAGGGACTCACGTCGAGCGAGCGTGTAAACGTTCCTTGCGCATTTCTCCTATCGAGGAGTTCCAAGGTGGCTTCGGGGGTGAAGTTCTTGCTGCGAGGTTAGCCTTGAAATTGTCTAAGCCCGCGTGATCGAAGGATCACACACTTCAACAATTTAAAAGGGTTTCAAGGGGACGTGTCGCACTTCGGGGTTGGTGATCAGGGTAAGATGAAAAGAAGTATATTTATGTACTTAGACGCTCTTTTCCTTACCACTGAGCCGGTCGTTTCTGATAGGGACCTAGTACCGGTTAATACACTTCCTTCCTTCCTTCCTTCGGTAAACCTAAAATTAGAATTTGCTTCTTCGGACGTCGTAGAGTGAATACCAGACGGCTTCCGCTCAAATAAAATGTGCAGGGTGATTGGGTGAATTCTCGAACTTGATTGGGATGCTCTGTTACGCTCTGACTGACTGAAAACCATTGAAACTAATTTCAAAACTCAAAAACACTGAATCTCATGTCCTGAACCTAATGAGGGGAAAGCGCAGTACCAAACTGCCTTAACCACACTCGTCTGTAGTACTGAGCACAAGGTAAGCTCGGATGCTATGTCCGACGATACGCGACTTCGGAACTCAAGGCCATGGACACGCTCTCTAGTAGTCTCTAGTCGCCAACGACGTCGATCGCTTAATTGAGTCGTTGTTGGGACTTAAAGGATTTTCACTCAGGTACCGACGTGACAAGTGTAATTGACTTGCCGTGCCTCGAGAACCTGTTCTTGGGCTTTGGTTGTGCTCAGCAGCAGACTATAATCTTATGTGCATGAGATTTTGCGAAAATGAGACGATTTTACTCAGCCGTGGATGCGGCGTATCAGGGGTTTGTTTTGAGCAGGTGATAGCGAAAAATCTCTACGCTGCTGAAATCGCATGATTCCTTTCCGATGTTCGGCAGGAGGTTGGGTGTGTGGTTTCACAGAAAATGAACAATAGGTGTGGGCGCTTCCATGGCAATTGCCTCCCTCCTGAAGACAAACAAGCGATCGCAAAGTTTGGCTTTGTTTGCTTGGCCTTGTTCTCGATCAAAATAAAATCGGCTCGTTCATTTCCTGACTTGACGTCCTTCTCTTTCCTCCCGATCATGGCTGAATCGCAGCAAGTTCATCATCGCAACGATTCTATCGAATCGAATGCGACTATCAAAAGCATCCAGTCGGCGGGATCTGTTTCTTCCACTCTCTCGACGGCCTCGACGGCCAGCGTGTCTCTTGGCGTCTACGAGGAGCTCAAACCCGACATCGAACGCCTTCAACGCACCGTTACAGAGAAGGGTCTTGAGAGATATCTTCCCAAAGCTGAACTTCTCGTCTCCTCCCTCTCGTCTAGCGACTTTAACGAGACCGATTTCTGCGGGTCAAAACTGAAACTCGATGGAGTCCTCAAAGGGATGCTTGAGCATGCTGTG